GATAGCCACTTTCGTCTACATGCAGCCACACAAGATTCGGTTCGTTGTAAACCAAACTTGTTCGCAATAAAGGGGCAATTCTGTATTGGCTCAAACAGGGACATGGACAATGGTTCGTTACAATTATCACCAAATTCGCTATAATATTATGCGAATTATATGCGAATTAAATGCGAATTCGTCGTCCTACTGTAAAACCGGGAATTTTCGCTGGTTTAAAATTTTCGGTATCTCCAAAAATCAACGGTTCGGTAGCGCGGCACTACGTGGGGTGAGGGGGACACTACGGGGGTGGGACACTACGGGGGGGGGACACTACGGGGGGTGGGGGGGACACTACGGGGGTGGGTGGGGGACACTACGGGGGGGACACTACGGGGACACTACGGGGGGGGGGGGACACTACGGGGGGGGGACACTACGGGGGGGGGGGGGACACTACGGGGGGGGGGGGGGCACTACGGGGGGGGGGGTCTAACAACAATCGATTCTTGATGCGAGATCATTATTGAAGCAAGTGCAGATCACAGGTGTTAGCGGCCGTCGTGAGTTCGAACGGACACGATAATTTACTTTTTTTAACCCTTAAAAGGGGAAGTATACCCTAAAATCAAATTTTCACCAGTTGTCGTCTTCGGGGTGCTGAGTCGAATCGTCTTGGTCCGAGGAAGCTGAGACGCTCCCTTCCTACTTGAATCCCAATCGAACTCGCGCGCTTCCACCGAAACTGGGTGACTGCGCCCTACTAGATGGGGATTTGTATGCAAAATGTCACTAAAAGCGCCATTTCGTTCTTATAAAAGCACGGATAACCGCGATTGGCCCATATGTTGTACTCTTTTGGACGCTGAGTCGACTGGTTTTGGTCCGAAAAGGCTGCGATGCAGCGTTCCTCCTTTATTCCCAATCGAACATGGTTGAAGAAGCGGTCACGTGCTCCTGCGTACACCAGTCAGCTGGTCACCGTGCCTGCAGGGTACAACTTACTAGCCTGTTTGACCTTTTTTGGGTGCAGTCCTGTCACTCGAGTTGAACTCGAGTTGAACCTTGGTGTGAAAGTTGTCGCCTGCTGGCGCGGTGACCAGGTGATTTGGGCACCCAGGAGCACGTGACCGCTTGTTCAACCATGTTCGATTGGGAATAAAGGAGGAACGCTGCATCGCAGCCTTTTCGGACCAAAACCAGTCGACTCAGCGTCCAAAAGACTACAACGTAAGGGCCAATCGCGATCATCCGTGCTTTTATAAGAACGAAATGGCGCTTTTAGTGACATTTTGCATATAAATCCCCATCTAGTAGGGCGCAGTCACCCAGTTTCGGTGGAAGTGCGCGAGTTCGATTGGGATTCAAGTAGGAAGGGAGCGTCGCAGCTTCCTCGGACCAAGACCATTCGACTCAGCACCCAGAAGACTACAACTGGTGAAAATTTGATTTTAGGGTATACTTTAACCCTTTCACTGCCAGCTGACCACTCAAGGTGACAAGGCGCTCCCTGCCAGGCTGTCAGCTGAGCTGTACACCCCCTCCCTGCCAGGCACTTTTTACCTCCAGCTCGAAAAATCGAAAGGCCTACTTTTCCTGGATTTTTCGGTACTTTCTGTACGGAATATCGCTTTCCAAAGTATACATCGTAGGTAGACAACTCACAAAGGAAGCCATTGCCGTCGAAAAAAAATCGCAAAATCCGAAGTACAAACGTGCTGCGCGATCTAGCGCCAGCCGCTGTGCAAAAAATGCGTGTCATGTCATGCGAAAGTGCACCGTGCGCCGCATGCGCTACATACACTATGTACACGATCGGCCCGGACACTCGCGAAGTAAAGTTAGTTAGTTGTTGTTTTGGAGAGAGAAGCAGATCCTTTTTTCGTTCGCAGGGATTAAAAGATATGCCAGTGGACAGGAGAGCTACAACACTGGAAGCAGAAGAGATGGCTTGCGGAATCTTCTCTATCTTCGTGGCAACAGGACTTCAGTTGCGAGAGACTTTCGTCCTGTCGTTGCGGACGAAATTCTTGTTGCTGCCACCAGAAAACTCGGAGAACGAAACGATCGTAAGTCGTTTGGTGAAGCGGATCGTGTCGGTGAACGGCTGCGGAATGTTCTGCCGCCATGGTGGTCGTTTGTTCTCCCAATTAGCAGCAGTCCAAATACTTTTCAACTTCGGAGAGTGAAGCGCTTCCCTGTTCCGTTGACAAGCGCGGCGTTCGCGGGTGTAATTCACTTTCGCATCAGCTTGCAGTAGATCGTCAGGTATTGAGCCAGAGGTAGGTGTCGTTGTAGAAAGAATATAATTATGTTGTAGCTGACATACCTGTAGTGTCTCTTGACCGTGCTGGTCGCCATTGTAACGTGGTAGTTCTTAGAAAATTTTAGTTCTGGGCCCAGTGACCGCCGCCAGCACTGTTTCCGTCAAGTTTGCAGTGAATGCGTGCGCGAGGAATCTATCGTCTGGTTGTCTCTACCCGTGACTCCAACCGCCTGGAGTCTTGGGTAATAGCTAGGCATCAAGTCTGAACCAAATTCCATGCTCCGTGCAATGAAAGTTGACGGGAAAGAGGAAAATACTCGCACCGACTCAGCGAGGTGGAAGTGCGTGAGAACCGGTTTCTTCCTCGCCGATCGGCTAAAAATCGGATGCGCATTTTCAACGACGCTGGTTCGATTTTTTTCAAATGGCAACCCATACTTCTGGAAGCGTATTTCGATGGGTATGGACATCTTCCAGGGCCCAGTGGCCGTCTACCACGGCTAAACATCTCCAATATTCGAAAATAGAGGCACAAACTGGGTGAGGTCTGCCTGTCGACGGAAGTCGACAACAGCACTGGGGACTGCATGTTTACTCGTCGACGCAAGTCGACACTGGCACTCGGAGTGCATGAATGCGCTGTCGACTGCAGTCGACAGCGGCAGTGAAAGGGTTAAGGTGCAGATCACGATTGGCCTACCTATCACAATGAATCCAGCAATCAGTCCAACAGCTCCAATACCAACTGCTGTGTCACAACCGCGGCTTGAAGGGAAAGCAAGGGGCCGTGGACTTCCTAAATAGCACACGTCTGTGAGTGACCCGAAAAAGGGGCTTATCAGACGATCGTTGGTCACTCCGACTACGATGATAGCGAACAGCTGCATTGGGATCACAGGGTGTAAGCACAGCAACATAAATCCACATACACACACACACATACACACACACACACACACATATACACACACACACACACACATATACACACACACACACACACACACACACACAAACACACACACATATACACATATACACACACACACACACGCGCGCGCATGCACGGCTTGCACGCACACACACGCACATACATACATACATACACACGCACGCACACACGCACATACACACGCACGCACACACACGCACAAGCACACAGTGGTCTCCTAGGACAGGTGGTCGCCTTATCCGAATGGTCGCCTTAACAGGTTTGGCCGTACTATATTTAACTTTTTAAGTAAACAAATATTCGGCGCATACTTACTCTTGACTATTTTCGGCCTGGGCATTTGTGGAAGAAAATTTCTTTGCAGGCAAAATTTCGTTTCGAAAGGTTCAGTGTCACAGGTAGTTAACTGAAAGTCTACAATTTTTCGGCCATTCAAATTTCGGCCTCCCAGGGCTAAAACACATTTTGGCCGCATCAAATTTTCGTCCTGTACTGCTGCCACCATGAGTATAAGTATAACTCCCAAGAGTGTGCAACTCTGCATATGCCGGGGTCTCCGACGGTGAAAACTCACATCACGTGTCTCAGACGCGTTCGTGCTACGTACAAACGAAGGATAGCGTGCGCGCAATCCGAATATCCGCCATGATCATGCTGGGGATTTGCAGACCTGCAGTGAGTTTCTGTCAGAGAGTGCTTTTTCATTACTCCTCTGCTCGCTAAAAACGGCCTGGAAACAGCCTGGAAACGTACAACTGCGACACTGCACCACGTGATGTGAGTTTTCGCCGAAAGGGTATCGGGAGTTGCACACTCTTGGGGGGCTATATACTCTTGCTGCCGCCTGTATACCGTAGTGTCGCGTGTAAAGGCATGACCTGTTTTTACTTCGCATCCCGTTCCTACCCAATCCTGCTGGGAGATGTTCTATCCAATTTCTGGGCAGCACTACATGGAATTCTCTACCCGATGCTACCCGCTCTCTAACAAACCTTGTTCATTTCAAAAAATCTCTTTCAGAACTTGATCTCACTTCACTCCATTAGCTAATGACACACTATTACGTTCTGTCAGCTGTCCATCATCAATATTATCTGCATGTACAACCACAACACACATAAAATACACTGCTGCATGGTATTTTTATAATTGTCCTCCTGACAGTCATGACATCTTATTACTTCCCATGCTGTTCATATTGATCATATTAACCCTTTCACTGCCAGCTGACCACTCAAGGTGACAAGGTGCTCCCTGCCAGGCTGTCAGCTGAGCTGTACACCCCCTCCCTGCCAGGCACTTTTTACCTCCAGCTCGAAAAATCGAAAGGCCTACTTTTCCTGGATATTTCGGTACTTTCTGTACGGAATATCGCTTTCCAAAGTATACATCGTAGGTAGACAACTCACAAAGGACGCCATTGCCATCGAAAAAAATCGAAAAATCCGAAGTACAAATGTGCTGCGCGATCTAACGCCAGCCGCTGTGCAAAAACGCGTGTCATGTCATGCGAAAGTGCGCGGTGCGCCGCATGCGCTACATACACTATGTACACGATCGGCCCGGACACTCGCGAAGTAAAGTTAGGTGTTCGTTGTTTTGGAGAGAGAAGCAGATCCTTTTTTTTCGTTCGCAGGGATTGAAAGATATGCCAGTGGACAGGAGAGCTACAACACTGGAAGCAGAAGAGATGGCTTGCGGAATCTTCTCTATCTTCGTGGCAACAGGACTTCAGTCGCGAGAGATTTTCGTCCTGTCGTTGCAGACGAAATTCTTGTTGCTGCCACCAGAAAACTCGGAAGTCGTTTGGTGAAGCGGATCGTGTCGGTGAACGGCTGCGGAATGTTCTGCCGCCATGGTGGTCGTTTGTTCTCCCAATTAGCAGCAGTCCAAATACTTTTCAACTTCGGAGAGTGAAGCGCTTCCCTGTTCCGTTGACAAGCGCGGCGTTCGCGGGTGTAATTCACTTTCGCATCAGCTTGCAGTAGATCGTCAGGTATTGAGCCAGAGGTAGGTGTCGTTGTAGAAAGAATATTATGTTGTAGCTGACATACCTGTAGTGTCTCTTGACCGTGCTGGTCGCCATTGTAACGTGGTAGTTCTTAGAAAATTTTAGTTCTGGACCCAGTGACCGCCGCCAGCGCTGTTTCCGTCAAGTTTGCAGTGAATGCGTCCGCGAGGAATCTATCGTCTGGTTGTCTCTACCCGTGACTCCAACCGCCTATCGCAACGGATAGCCGCCTGGAGTCTTGGGTAATAGCTAGGCACCAAGTCTGAACAAAATTCCATGCTCCGTGCAATGAAAGTTGACGGGAAAGAGGAAAATACTCGCACCGACTCAGCGAGGTGGAAGTGCGTGAGAACCGGTTTCTTCCTCGCCGATCGGCTAAAAATCGGATGCGCATTTTCAACGACGCTGGTTCGATTTTTTTCAAATGGCAACCCATATTTCTGGAAGCGTATTTCGATGGGTATGGACACCTTCCAGGGCCCAGTGGCCGTCTACCACGGCTAAACATCTCCAATATTCGAAAATAGAGGCACAAACTGGGTGAGGTCTGCCTGTCAACGGAAGTCGACAACAGCACTGGGGACTGCATGTTTACTCGTCGACGCAAGTCGACAATGGCACTCGGAGTGCATGAATGTTCTGTCGACTGCAGTCGACAGCGGCAGTGAAAGGGTTAATCTATCATACTATTTTTCATCATAGCCTAGGAGCTGTGGCATCATTTATGATCCACAGCAAGAAGGCAGCAATGCCTGTACCTATGGCAGGGATGAATTTATCCTGTATCGCATCGCAGTTTGCGATGCAAAATCGATCTACTGCTACTCAAAAGTCACCGTGATTCGCAGAAAACTGCGATACATACAGACTATCTATGCCAAGCCTACAGTGCAGTGTATGTGGTGCAGGCACTCTCAATCTGCGTGCACATTTATGATTCAGTCGTTTTTTTGCAAATGGGCTTTCAGGCATCACTCTCAAGAAGGACAATGTGGTAAACACCCACCCTTCAAAGAAAAATGCTAATCAAAATCAAAGACTGCTACACAATTGTGATTTTGTATAGCCGAAACTGCTATGCAAAAAAAAGGTTTGCTCCCCACACCGGAGCTCGCGCTATTCCGCCGACTTTTCTTGACACTTGACTGACTCACGACTGCGAGCTCCGGTGTGGGGAGCAAACCTTTTCTTACAAATCATCGCCGAAGTCGCAACCACTACTTCGTACTGCTATGCAAAAATATGACAATAAATTCATCCCTGTCATATGGTGAAGTAAAATAAAGCTTACATTACATAACCTGTATAGAAGCGTGACTCGAACAGAAGCCGATTCTTCCAAGCGCGCCGTGACACAGAAGCACGATTTGAATAGAAGCCGCTCTCTGCAAAGACACGTGGACGTACTTGCACGGTACCTGCGTGCCAGTATCCCAGTATCTATCCACTGCACAGTGTACACTGATGATGTTGACGTAGACGCAGGTTTTGAATAGAAGCATGGTTCGAACCGCGGCTTATGCGGCCGTAAGCACCTGCTTTTATACGCGACATTACGGTATGTATTGAACTTTGCAAAAATAAATTTCGGCCGCAAGACATTTTTGGCCAAACATGACCAGGCAGCAGCAGCAGCAGCAGTACGGGCTGAAATTGTAATGCAGCCGCTACTGTATAAGCAGAAATATTCGTCTGGAATTTAATTTCGTCTTTTTCGTCCAAGGAGGTTTCGGACTAAATTAAATGCCGGACTACTGTCGATTTGTCCACCTTTTCAATACACTCCTATGATCCATGGACGAAAATTTACAACCAGACGAACTTCCTTTCTTTGGAGTTGAACGAAATTATCGACCGACAAAATTTTCTGCATGTACAGTATGTGTTTTAGCCCTGGGAGGCCGAAATTTGAATGCGCTGAAAACATACAGTAGGTATGCTCAAAAAAGGTGGTCTCTCACAAGAGGTGGTCTCCCATAGGAGGTTGTCTCTCATAAGAGGTGGTCACTAATCACAGAGAATAGCTATGTGACTGGCAAGACTTACAGTTGCCAGTATGGCAATAACCAGGTGGACGATACTGGAGATCTCAGGCATGTTGAACTGACCGCAGCGCTGACAATGCCCCTGCGTGTACACGTGCGCGCGTGTGTGTGTAGTCACTAGATCTGATCACTGGGAGAGCTTGGGCCGTCTCCGTCCGCCTTAGCTGTGTGCACAACTGGAGAGAAAGAAAAAAAACATTTCAAAAATAATTTGAAACGAAGAATGTGCGTACGGACACACAAATACACATACACACACAAGCCTGTGCACCTGTCCTGTCCTGTAGAGCCACTGCCACAGGGGTCACGTGGGCCCCGGAGGGGCATCAGAGAGGAAGATGGAGCACGCAGCCTGATGACGCCGGAGATGGTGGGGCAAACGGAACCGGCGAGAACACACGCATACATGGCTGAACGAATTACGCTGCTGGGCAGTCGGGCGCGGGCCAGTCCTCGAGCACCGGTGACGACCGCGGCCTTGCACAGACCGAAAGCAGCGGGCACACACAGCACAGTGCGCAGCACAGCAGGCATCCTGCACATAGACTTGCCGGGACTCGGGAGGCTGAGGCTGAGGTGCGGAACAGCGGTGAACAGCTAGACCACCCTTGCTGCGAAACCAACGCCCACAATCTCCACAGTGGCAAGCCCCTCGCTGCTCAGCAATCGGCTTTGCCCGCTCAACCACACATTTGTGGCGAGCACGATCTCCAGGGCGCGAGAATGACCGATTGCAATCCGCACATACCACTGGGTCAGGCTGAGGCACATTCTCCACAGGCTCGGCGTACATAGTCCGCCAGTCAGCACGGGACTCACAGGCGATAGGGTACCATTCCTTGGTGAGGCCACGAACTCTTAAGTCGGAGACAACGCAATCCTTCCAGCGCTTAAACCACGACGCGTCCAGAAACACAAGCAGTGTCGATGGCGCCGTCCCGCTCCACCAAGGATCTCACGTTCCATGAGCCCAAACACAGCAGGCAACGTCTCCATCTCCCTCTCTTCTCTCTGACAGATTTCATCGCACGATGTTGTGGAAATCCGCTCGGGGGCTTGTCAAACCTCCGCGAGCGGCGACGTCGGGTACAACTAAAAGTGACGGCACCAAATTGCCGTCCCGTCTCTCAGCTGTATGCTTCCCTCCGTCATGCGCTTTCCCTGGCCTAGAGGCGGCCCAAAGAGGGCCGCCTCAGGCCTCCGTGAAGTTCACAAAGGTCGAGGACTTTCAGTAGGCAGGAGCTCAAAAAAAGCACAACCGTCCCCAGTGAACACAGGGACACACACACACACACGTACACACACACACACACACACACACACACACACACACACGTACACACACATATACACACACTTGGCCTGGTGTACGGCTGCCAAATGCTTGGCCGCCCTGCCACCGATACAGGGGAGAGTAGAAGAGAGAGAGAGTTCGAGAGAAGTCAGCACTGCCACTAGGAAGCCGCTCCGCCACGACGTCGTCCACGATTGCAATTGTGTCGCCGAAAGCCAGGAGCAGATTTAAAACAGCGATCACCAAATTTTGAATTTTGAATCCTCTCTTGGCGAGCGAAAGCCGTCTCCATCGGGCCAGATGCGTTCAGCAGAGAGCGAACATTCCAGGGAGCAAGCTGAAGACTCTCTCTCTCTCTCTCTCTCCACTCTTCTATGGACAGATTTCTTGTCAGTACCCACTCGCGGGCTCGTCCCACCGCGACGAGTGGCAACTCTTGTCAGGTGACAAGTGGCAGTATCAATCTCTGCCCCGGACATGACGCCTGACTTTCCAAGAGTTGTTCTCACACTCTAGCCAACTAGGGTGGCGCTTTCAAGAACCAGCAAACTTCAACACTCACACACACACGCGCACACACACACACACACACACACACACACACACACACACACACACACGCACCTGTACTTGTTCACCACCATAAACTAAAACTGGTCAAGAGCGTCTTCATGGAAGATGGGGAGAGAGACCCTAAATGAATCTTGGACAGATGACTCGATTGCCCAACAAACCACCCGCCGGCTGGCATCCTCCCCCTACTCTTTAACCGTGCAATAATCTATACATACAGTCGACTCCTCATATAACGATCACCATTGTGCAATAGAATTTAACGATCACCATTGTGCAATAGAATTTAGCTCCTTAGATGAGACCAAAATAAAATTGAGATTCCCGGGCAGAACCCAGGTGAAATTGAGGCGGGCGAAATTTTTTATATTTTTATTTTTCCTTTGTATGTATGCATGGCATGATGAATTCGTCTTTTACAGTAATTTCCGGTAATTTTGTTTATTTTTTCACGGACAACAGGTAAGCGGTTTACCCGTACAAAGTTTTTTTGTTGTTTAGTTTGGCCAAAGATGTAATGGCCCCGAGTCGTACATCAGGGAATCATCCGGGTTTGTGTGACTCCCTGTCACAGATCTACTCACACGATCGGTACTGAACATGTACCGTAACGTACCGCGAGAGCGCCGCACCGTCTCGTCCTTTCGTGGTCGTTTTGTGGAGGTGGTTTCCTGTCTGTAGGTCATACGACACGAACCTTGTACAGATAGTGCACGTTGTGCAGTCAATCCGTACCTTCGAGTGGACACGAGCTCCACACAAAAACCTGCAAAGTGTGACCTTAGTACACTAAGGTTCTCACACTGTACAAACTTCATTGCACTCTTCCATACGGTTTTCCTTTCCCTGGCCTGTGAGATCAAGGTGTGGCGCTCTGGAGGTACTTTACCGTATATAAACCGTTCAAAAAAAATTGACTTCGGCTCGATTTTGGGGAGGGCCCGGGAATCTCTTGTTTTTTATTGGTCTCGCCTTATAGCTGAAGTTCTGTATAACCGAAAGGCACTTACACCATACAAGCAAAACGTCACGATTTGAATGTGGCGCATAAGAGTATAATTGTATTTAGTTTAAACGTGGCCCTACAAGATTATGGTTCGTTCAAATGAAAACTGTTTCGCTAGAAAGGGTCGATTTCGTACGGGTTTAAACAAGGACACGGACACTGGCTCGTTGTATCATCTCAACCATGTGATAATGTGTAGGTATTTGCAATCACATAACCTCTCCATCCTGCCTCACGTGTCCCCATCATCTAACCACTCCAAGTGGCCGTCAGGCGAAATAGCACGTCATAGTACATTTGAGATCAGCGGGAAGAAGATGACGACGTCCACTAATTTAGTATCTGTGCACACGAATCTGCTGTGTGTGTGACTCTGTGTGTCAGCTATGATATCATCTTCTGTGGTTCCATGCCTAGCATGTACGTCTGAACCATCCTGCAAAGTTTGAATGACGTAGGTTGAGCGATCGCTCCGCGAAACATACTTTTTGAAATTCTCTTCATAGTATATCTTCCACAATTGAAATTTCGAATTTCTTCGAATTTTTTGCTGAGAGGGGTGGCTTGCAACCTCGATATGGCTTGTTCCAGGCATGCTTTGGAGCCATCTTTTGTTGAAGTAGTGGCAGGGATCTGCCCTGCAACTGCTACAACAAAAAAATGATTCGATCTGAGAAAGGGTGAGACCGCGAATCTCGGTTGAATATTGAGTATTTCAAGCCTTTTCACGACGAAGATGGAGTTCTTTTTGGAGATGGACGTCGCGGAAAAGGACATGGTGTCCGACTTCTGGCGTCTGGTGAAGCCAGGGATCATTTGTCCAGTCAGGTCGGCAGCCTAACCGTCGGTAAGCTTGTGTTTGCATCCCGTTCTCCTCGATGTGGTAGATCACAAACAATTTGATATCGCACAAATTGATCTCAGCATCGTGCGTACGGTATTTTTATATTCAGAAAATCCCAAAGTGTCTCTGTGTGGCCGTCCTATGCCACGAGAAACTTCAATCAGGCTCCTATGTCCTCTGCCTTCATGATTGAATGTCCACTTCGTTTGAACAACGAACACAACAATCGAGGACGGCTTTGCAATGAAAAATACAGCTATACTGGAGCTGAAAAAAAGAAGAAAAAAACGTGCTCAGCATGAGACTCGAGTACACGCATACTCTCCCAGCAGGTGAAACGCAATTTTTTGTGAAAAATGCGTGTCGCCGACTGACCAGTAATTTCGCCTGACGAAACAATTAAGACAATCAATCAATCCAATATGAAGCCGTGTGAGATTCACTTCGATTTAACAACATCAAACTATATCAACGTGTGTATCCAATATCAAACAATAATCAGAGGACAGAGAAAGTGTTTTAACTCCGAGTTTCACGCACTAAGCGATCATCAGAAAACAGCAATGAGTAACTCTGGATCAGTATTGGTTTATATACCCACAAAGCAAAAGTGTAAATGACAGCATACCTAAATTTTCAATACACCGGACAAACAGCAACACACATAATCTAATAGGGAACTGCTTCTCTGTACCTAAAATTTCTGTTCACATAACCTGGCCTTTTGCCCTCATTCCGAAAATATTGAGCACCGAACATTTCCGAAATTAGAGTAGTTCCGTTCAAGTTAGTTTGTATATCCAATATTTACGAACTTAGAAAGTTATTGTTGTCCCTCACGCGGACGTGCGACTAGTTGTTGGAGGTGACAGCGTTGTGAATAGCTATACTGGCTCTCAACGTCTGTTCAGCACAACTCCATGAGCGACTCTGACTCACGCTGCTACCTGGGGCTTCACGAGGTGTTTGTCGCGCTGGAAACAAAGCGTCTCTGTAAGTTTGTATCCCTGGTGATGGTTTGGCCTGGAGAGCAGTATATAAGTGGTGCTTTTCAGGCACAATCTTCCTCAGCCTACTCAAGCTCAACTGATGAGGGGTGAATTCCCCGAAACACTGTGTATTGAGCAGGGAGTGGTGCTTTCTTTCAGGTTTGCCGAGCGGAAGGTGCGACGTGCTCCTCGTGTGCTCCGGATGGCAGTCGTGAGTCAGTCAAGTGTCAAGTTCGGCAAGAAGCGTGTGCTCCTCGTTGGAGCAACCAACATCCAATATTTATTTATTTTATATTTTATTCCAAGCAATACATGGCTGGGGTAGCCAATGACCACTTTGCGTGGCGATTGCAGTGTTCTTATAGCCAACCACGGCTATAATATCAAACAATCAAACAAATAATTAAAAGCCCCAGTGCCTTCCGTAACATTCACTCAAAAATATTCCAGAGCATACGTGCCAACCATCCCGATTTGGAGGGGACTGTCCCGCTATTGAGGGTGGTGGTAATTGGCACCCAAAAGTGCATTCGCCACATGCCTCACACCTATATTTGTATGCACTTTCACACCTACATGTAGGTATGTCAACGTCCTCTCAGGCCTCGTTTACACGACAACGATTGAAAAAACGTTTTCAAAAGAATACGCTTCCACAGATTTTGATAAGAGCGTTTACACGACAACGCTGAAAAACGGCTTCAAAGCGTTTTTCAATCGTTTTCGTTCCTTTTCGTTCTCGTGTAAACGGCAAAAACGTTTTACTAGTACGAGCCTTGTACTCAAAACATGCCGCCGCCAGCCTGCGCCAGGCCAACTTATTGCACGTGACCATTGCGCGCCGAAAAACGTGTTGCAGTGTACACGATTATCGTTTTCGTGTAAACAGCAAAAACGTTTGGAAAACGATTGAAAAACGTTTTTCAATCGTTGTCGTGTAAACGAGGCCTCGCTCAGGTTTGCACAGGTTGGCAGGTACACTGAATGGCTCAGCCAGTACGGCAGTAGTGCTTGCTAAAAGCATAATAATACCGATACTAATGAGTTGTACTAATGGAGTGGAAGTCTCACTCAGGGCGACGCGATGTTTTCCACATGACGGGACACAGCGTGACAAAACGTCATGGGAAGTACAATCATGTAACATCACATGATAATTCAGCCTTTCCAAAACAGCACACGCGGCATACAGACTACATAATAATTATTGTAGACGAATCCCAGGCTTTCAGACTAGACGGATGAAAGCGTGCATGCAAGAACGAGCAGCACAAATAGAGCGCAACCTCTCTGCACTGCACAAGCGCAGAGCGCTCCGCTCGCAGCGTGAGGACCGTTTCGGCCCGAGTTAGAGAGGTTCCGCACTTGAAACATTATTATTATCTGCGTGCATTTTTCCCCGTAGATCTACTGCATTTAGCGCTGAACTTGAAGTTACAACTGCTATTGCTGCTGAACACAGGAAAACAAGCGACTCGCAAGAGAACCAACACTCGTCTACACTAGATACAGTAGACGCTGCCAAACCAGCCATGGAGTCTACCATAATATAAATAATAATAGTATTGGTTTCGACACCAGTACAGGACAGTCCATGACGAACAGTTGCGGAAGAACGTCACAAACTACACATTCCGCATTATCATCATCGCCAGGGCAGGACTGAGGTGTCCGTCCCTAACCGACCCTTATACCATGGTACGGTACGGAGGGCCTGTTTTCAGCCAATCAGCGCTCGTCTAGCCATGGTTATATTGGCCAGTATAAATCCCGCGCGGGATTTATATAGAATATAAATCCCGGTGCACGGTACGTACGCTAGGGCACTGCCACCGTACATGTTCACTGCCTGAAAGGCAGTGAACTTGTACGGCGGCAGTACTCCAGCGCACGGACCATACATAAACAGACACAACGGACACCACATGCGCGTGTACACTCCACACAGAACGGCACACTGACGAGGAACAGTACACAATGGAAAAGAAGAATGACCTGGAATTCGTCTACAGAGTATTCTATTATACTGAATCTGAGGATAAAGAACGTCGAATAACCACGAAGTATCCCGAATAGGTCAGCAATGTACATTGTACTTCGAAGAGTTGAAGATCATCAACGCACTGTCTCCTTCGTAAATAAGTTTATAATACCAGTGTACATGTACTTCAACCCGATTGGAAAAGGCTAGATTGGATTGAAATGTGATACAAAACAGTGTATGCAAATGCATCTACTTGCAAGCAAAACTGATTATAAGATGCCGCATGTGAAAATCAGCACTGTACCATAATTATAGTAACACTTACTCCCAAAGAGTCTGTAATCTAACTAGTGACGGTAGTTTGATTCAACGACAAACTCCAGCACCGCAGCAATTCAGTCGACTTCCGCACCGCTCACGACTCAAGACAAGATCATGAAGATGCTACAATATGCACTGGAACTGAAAGGAAATCTTATGCCAAACATCCACGGAGGAATCTCCTTCTGACCTTGCTCGACCATTCTTTCAATTGACAACTGATAACCATCAGAAGATGTTCATGTACTGCATGATGTAGGAGATCTCCAAATAGGTTCGTTGTTCTGGAAATGCGTAGGGGTACCTGGCATAAGTAGGATATGACCCTCGTAGTCGGGTTATACCGTACCCTCATATAAATCCCTCCTGCTATCGCAGTCGGGATTTATATTCAGCCGGTATAACCCTCTGACTCGGGTTATATCCTCTACACGGCTACCGACAGCATGCAGCGAGTGAAACACACTACGCAGCTGAGGCCATGTGCCCTGTAGATTGTACTAGTAGCCACGAGAGGCAAGGCCGCGGACAGGCAACTCCACTGAGCCATTCGTACAGATTGATTCCATGGTGGTACAAGACACAGGGCTTTTAGCGAGCGAATACAAACAAAAGCCTACAGGGCAGACCTACATTAGCTACAAATATGCCCCAACTCAGGGCCACGCGCCACACAGAGTACTGAGCAGAGGACAAGAAAAAAAACACGCCACGCAACGAGTTGCGCGAACGTACTGTACTCACAATTGTGCTAGAGATGTGAGCTGCCTCGTAGCGCCACGACCACCACCAGCCACGGCCACTGTCCGTCGCTAACGTTAGCGCACTTGCGGAGACGAGCAGAGAAGAGGGAGAGCTAGGCGAGCGCGCGGACAACAAAATTTCTAAATTATTCCTTGCGCTAGAGTACTCATTCCAACAAAACCCGGAGAACGACACGCAAAGCGCCCAAAGCCAACGGACTGACAAGAGAGAAGTTTAGTTTCGTCCATGCGCAAGCAGGAAGTGGGAAGCAAGTATCCTACTAATCTAGCATAATGTGCATGACTCGTACCCGCGGGGCGCGGGCCGGGTTGCAACGACGTTGATCAAGAAAAAAGTACTACTAGTACTACTAGTACTAGTACTGAGTACTAGTACTAGTCTATGAAACGTAACGTTACGTAACTTCGAAAAGTATAGTACAGTATTCACCATCACAAACACGTGTAATGACGTATATTATTATGACGTCGACCCTGTGACTGCAGTGCCAGTGTCAGTGAGTGCAGCCATTCGATTATGCGCGCGAATCGATTCATGAATCGATTCGCGCTTTCACATCACTTACTCATCAGTGCCATCACCCTACATTACATGTATGTGGTGAATGGATGGCCCATCACGGCATCAGGGAAGCCTATGCTGAGTATGCAGAAGGAGTTCACTTCAGGCCCAACATCTTCAGCCCTCCTCGGCCTCGAGGCACTGTGGGGAAACCTTTGTGGCGCAACTCGCCCAATACCTAGCCTGCTTTGGGAATGGCGGAGTCTTTGAGGGAGCCGCCCTGCAGATTGCCATGACGTTCCAACTATTACTGCTGCAGAAGTCACCGAGGGCCAATCCTAACGCTTTCACGGATATCCTCCAGCGCCGAATGGAAACATGGAATAGAGGTGACATCTGTGACCTGAGACAAGAATGCCGGACCATCCAGCGGCAGCTGAAGCGTGACTCCGTGAGTCGGCCACCGGGAGTAGAGACCCAAGGTACAAGACTCAACAAGACATTTCGCGTCCCTGGTTACTGATGGGAAAATCTCGGCAGCGCTGCTCTACGCCAGCTAGATGGATCAACCGAGGGTGGTCTTCTCAAGCTTGACGATCAGATTGCGGGGGGAAACAGTTTGACAGGTCCTCAAGACAAAGCATCCTGAGGCAGCTCCCTTGAGTCACGAAGCCCTGATGCAAGGACCCTTCCCCACGTCACCCCACCCAGTCAGATTTGAGAAGTTGAACCGTGATGCCATACGCCAGGCATGTCTACACACAAATGGGGCTGCGGGGCCATCAGGAGTGGATGCTGCCACGTGGCACTCGCTTATGCACCAGCTTTCCGGATGCTTCGGATGCCTTGTGTGATTCTCTTGCTTGCTGTGCACGCCGCCTAGCAACAAAGTATGTCAACCCCTCCTCCCTAGAGGCCTATCTTGCATCTCGGGTTGTGCCCCTGGCCAAAAGCCCAGGGGTCAGACCCATTGGCATCGGCGAGGTGATCCGACGCGTGATTGGAAAAGCAATCCAGTCAAAATGATATCCAGGAAGCAGCAGGTAGCCAACAACTTTGCGCAAGCCAAGACTGCGGCATTGAGGCCACCATTCACGTCATGACGGATGTATACAACTCCCTGATGTCGACGGTGTGGTGATTGCTGACGCCAGTACGCCTTTAAAGGGGAAGTTACATGTAAGGCAAAAATTAAAATTTCACCAGTTGTAGTCTTCGGGGTGCTGAGTCGAATGGTCTTGGTCCGAAAAAGCTGAGACGCTCCCTTCCTACTTGAATCCCAATCGAACTCGCGCACTTCCACCGAAACTGGGTGACTGCGCCCTACTAGATGGGGATTTGTATGCAAAATGTCACTAAAAGCGCCATTTCGTTCTTATAAAAGCACGGATGACCGCGATTGGCCCATATGTTGTAGTCTTTTGGACGCTGAGTCGACTGGTTTTGGTCCGAAAAGACTGCGATGCAGCTTTCCTCCTTTATTCCCAATCGAACATGGCTGAACAAGTGGTCACGTGCTCCTGGGTGCCCAAATCACCTGGTCACCACGCCAGCAGGCGACAACTTTCACACCAAGGTTCAACTCGAGTTCAACTCGAGTGACAGGACTGCACCCAAAAAAGGTCAAACAGGCTAGTAAGTTGTACCCTGCAGGCACGGTGACCAGCTGACTGGTGTACGCAGGAGCACGTGACCGCTTGTTCAACCATGTTCGATTGGGAATAAAGGAGGAACGCTGCATCTCAGCCTTTTCGGACCAAAACCAGTCGACTCAGCGTCCAAAAGACTACAACATATGGGCCAATCGCGGTCATCCGTGCTTTTATAAGAACGAAATGGCGCTTTTAGTGACATTTTGCATACAAATCCCCATCTAGTAGGGCGCAGTCACCCAGTTTCGGTGGAAGTGCGCGAGTTCGATTGGGATTCAAGTAGGAAGGGAGCGTCTCAGCTTTCTCGGACCAAGACCATTCGACTCAGTACCCCGAAGACTACAACTGGTGAAATTTTAATTTTTGCCTTAACTTCCCCTATAACAGCCTCAACCGTGCGGCATGTATTCACAACATCCGCCTGCAATTCCCAGCCCTAGCAACGGTTGTCATCAACTGCTACCGCAGCCCCGCCAACTTGCATGTTGGGGAAGAAACCATCCATTCAAGGGAGTGAACCACGTAGGGTGACCTGCTGGCTATGCCAATTTATGCCATCAGCATCCTCCCCTTGATCACGTGCGTGGCTACTGATGGGGCATGCCAACATAATCATTGATATGCTGATTACTCATCTGCTGGCGGCAAGATGGTGTGACAGAAGGTGTGGTGGGATCGCCTCCTGGAACGGGGCCCAGCTTTCAGCTATCAAGTCAATCCCTCAAAATCAGTCCTCATAGTTAAACCTGAGTGTCTGGATGAAGCTCGAAGAGTGTTTGCCGGCTCAGGGATCCGCATAACCGGGGAGGGCCATAGATACCTTGGCGCTGCCATCGGCACACCGGAGTACTGCCAGAACTTTGTCCAGAGGCAGTGTGAGGAATGGCTTGCTGAGGTAGCTATCCTCACAGAGTACCGGTATGCGCACACCCAACCTCAAGCAGCATATAGTGCCTTCACCAGAGGCCTACAGCACAAATGGACCTTCAGCTGTCGAACACTAGCTATGGCGACTGAGCAGCTGGGATGCCTGGAACGACACATCACTACAGAGCTGATCCCAGTGCTGACTGGCCAACACATCAACCAAGAGTACCGTAGCCTCATTGGGTTTCCCTGTCGCCATGGTGGTCTTGCCCTGGCGGATTCTACATCTCTCTCCACTCAGCACTCGGCTTCTCCGCACATCACTACTGCGCTAGTCCATCAAAATAATGAACACTCACACTGGTATCCTGGGAGAGTCATTGGCTGAGGTCAGGGACCGCAAAGGTGAGGTACGGCGTGAACAGCGAAGGTCGGTGGCTCTCCGTGCCATGGAGCTCGCAAATGATGCATCTTCCCCAGTCAAGCGTGCCATGGAGCTTGGTAGCGAGAAAGGAGATTCTAGCTGGCTTCTGCCCACTAGCACGCCATGGCTTTACCCTGTCCACGGGGCAGTTTCGGGATGGGCTGGCGCTTCGCTATGGGTGGCACCCGGACCGACTGCCATCAACCTGCTCGTGTGGTGCAACGTTCACTGTTGCACATGCTCTCTCCTGCGCTACGGGCGGCTTCATTATCATGCGGCACAATGAGGTGAGGGATCTCACGGCGCAGCTGCTCGGTTGTGTGGCGCATGACGTGAACGTGGAGCCAACCCTCCAGCCCTTGAGAACTTGCGTTATCGCACAGCTCTGAGGGATGACCTGGGTCAGCTGGATGTTGTCGCGAGCGGAATCTATGGCGAGCGGTTTGAACGGAGCTACCTGGACATCCGGGTCTTTCAATCCGCACGCTCCATCAAATCGCTCATCATCTGCAGCATCCTGCTACAAGCGACACGAGCATGAGAAGCGCCGGGCCTACGGAGAAAGGATTCAACACGTTGAGCGGGCACGCTTCATTCCTGTGGTTTTCTCGGCACATGATGGCATGGGCAATTCAGCTATTTCTCTCTACAAGCGCATTGCCTCCATGTTGTCCGAGAAGACTCGTGAAGCCTATTCCTCCGTCATGGCCTGGCCAATCTCGCCACTATGCCCACTCCCGAGCTGTTACTAATGAGCTCAGGGAAAGGATTGTTAAGGCAGATCCCTCACTAGCTGGTGTGGCAGACGCTACCAAGACCGCCAAACACCAAGTCCACACTGCAGCTCGGGCATCACAGCAACAGCTGAAGGAGAGGTTTGTGAGCGGTGAAGGCGCGGTACATGCGGCTGAGCTTGAGCTTGCTTCCAAGCGTGGTAGCTCTGCTTTGCTGACGTCACGTCCTCTATCCTGCCATGGCTTTCGTCTCTCTAAGTTCGAGTTTAGAGATGTTCTGTGGTTGCGCTATGGCTGGGTGCCGGAGCGTTTGCCGTCATCCTGCATTTGTGTCAATGCGCGCTTTGACGTCTCCTACGCGTTATCCTGCCCGACCGGTGGATTCCTGTCTTTATGACACAATGAAATCCGTGATGTCACCGCCGACCTCATTCGCCAGGTGGCTCTCTCGTTATCCGTGAAACCTCAACTGCAACCGCTCTCTCGGCCTCCGGTCTGCGTCCTTAGAGGATAATGCTCGCCTCGACATCGCTGCCAGTGGGCTATGGGGTGGCCGGTTGGAACGCACAATGTTTGATATACAGGTTTTCAACCCCTATGCTGCTTCGAATCGTGCTGCTTCAATCTCCGCTGTGTATGCCCGCCATGAACGCGAGAAGAGGAGAAGATAGGAGAGAACTCGGGAAGTCGAGAGGGCCTCCTTCGTGCCAGTCCTCATGTCGGCCAGTGGTAGTGCCGGGAAAGCTGCAACAGTTTTGCACAAGCGCTTGGCCGCTCTCATCTCTGAAAAGAGAAATGACCAGTATTCTGCCACCATGGCGTGGATTCGCACCTCGGCTGTGCTTTGCGCTGGTGAGGTCGAGCATCATGTGTTTGCGTAGTGCCAGATCCTCTAAGTCCCGCTGCCTCCAGCGAGATCCAGTTGCAGTTGTCATTGCGGAGGCACGCCTGCGGAGGCACGCCTGCGGAGGCACGCCTGCGGAGGCACGCCTGCGGAGGCACGCCTGCGGAGGCACGCCTGCGGAGGCACGCCTGCGGAGGCACGCCTGCGGAGGCACGCCTGCGGAGGCACGCCTGCGGAGGCACGCCTGCGGAGGCACGCCTGCGGAGGCACGCCTGCGGAGGCACGCCTGCGGCCTGAGGCATCTGACTGGCTTTAAAAATAAAAACACCAACATTTTGAAAGTTGCTTGGACTGAGTTTCACTTGTTTTATTCGTGTATTATAGTTACTGCTCGCAGTACTGTGCATGCTAGCTACATACTTGCAAGTAATTATACCGGTAATAACTATTTTTGGTTTTGCCTGTACAAGAGGCTGTCAGTTCCTCGATAAAAATAAGACTACCGTACGATAGTACGATCTCACACTCACAGGTTCGTAAACATGCCCGCAGATGAGTGCATCCGCGGGCAAAATGCCCATGGACGCTTTTGATTCTCGCGCATAAATTTGGTCGCCCGCAGGAATATCTCCATGGTGATTTCCCTCTAAACGTGGATTTGCCTGTCGTGTGAATCACCTTAGGCCTCGTTTACACGACAACGATTGAAAAACGTTTTTGTCAAAAACGTTTTCAAAAGAATACGCTTCCACAGATTTTGATAAGAGCGTTTACACGACAACGCTGAAAAACGTTTCAAAAACGTTTCAAACGAAAAACGGCTTCAAAGTGTTTTTCAATCGTTTTCGTTCCGTTTCGTTTCGTTCTCGTGTAAACGGCAAAAACTTTTTACTAGTACGAGCCTTGTACTCAAAACATGCCGCTGCCAGCCTGCGCCAGGCCAACTTATTGCACGTGACCATTGCGCGCCGAAAAACATGTTGCAGTGTACACGATTATCGTTTTCGTGTAAACAGCAAAAACGTTTCGAAAACGATTGAAAAACGTTTTTCAATCGTTGTGTAAATGAGACCATAGTATTATAACTTTTATACTGAGCCATTCACATAACGTGTAAACTCACTTGTATCGTAACGTTTCCAAGGATGTTTTACTCGGATACGATAAACTTGGACACACGCGTGCAACCGATTTTTTTATCTTGGCCGAGGCCCTTTTGCTCGCGATTATCTTTGCACACCAGCAAACATGTCGGTTGTTGAAAATGCGTAATGCAAATGCAGTGCTCGAACAAAGGAACATTCAAAATTTTAACATTTCCTGGCATTTTCAGGAGGTCACTATGGATACGTTGACGGTTGCAAAGTTTGCCCAGCAGCACCGTGCAGACTGGATCACAGTTTGCCAGTGTTTAAAATCTGTTCTGCTCTACTTCCCGTAGAGAAATCACGTGGAATGTGTACTGGGAATTTCCCCTTCCACATTTGGCAGTTTTCTGCCTGCATTTGATCGATGCCCACCAGATATCTGTACGAGTACGCATTTTCTCTTTTTTTGACCCCTATGATCTTTTTACGCATTTTCTCTGCGTGTGCCACAACCTACGTACAGAAGAACCTCATGTCGCCGGCGCGCGCGCGTCATCCACCTCGTGTTGACAGGCCTTGCACATGGTATGTCGCGGCGTCACCCCAAGTATTGCTAGCATGGCTCACATAAACCCCACGAGGCTGAATGCATGTTGCGATGGGCGCCCTGAACTTGGAGGTCAAACCTCATGTTTGCCACTCTTGAACTGCCTCATATGGAAGATGGCCTTCTCAGGCTTCTGCAACAACAACAGAAAAGGAATGCGGATGTTTGTGTACGGGTATGGTGCCAGGGACAAGCTTGTTCCTGTACAAACGGAGAAGTAATAAGTAACTTACTTGTGAAATCTTCCATAACGAGCGTACATGTACATGCGCTTCGTTCGGTTGCGCTTTTGGTGGCAGTCCGACGCTTTTGATCTCTCTTATCGGCATGGCAGAACGATGGTGTCGAAGTTCGAAGTACATTGTACTATAATTATAATTTGCCTTGCAAAGATGGACTACCCGAACCTTTCAATCTCTAGATACCAGTTCCGAAGCAGTAGGATGTCGTCTTGAGCACCTCACTGAGTTTGAGCAATCTCGGTTTCCCTAGCTTTGATTTTAAAATTGTTCAGTTTGTGATCGTTGCAATTATTTGGGAAGTCAGTGCTCTCTTGGATTGCGTACCGACTGTGGAGCTAAGTACTGAGTGGACCCAGCCGTGGCTTGTATGGAATTGGTGCTGCCCTTGCTGATGTCCGTGCGCTCGTGCACTTGTGGACAACGTCACTTGTAAGTTGTGAAAGCTAGGTATTTTCGGCTCACTACAAGCTAATAATAATTATTATTATTATTAAATTCCCAGCAACATCCACCTCAGAGCTAGTGAATACCACGAGTGAATGAAAATTTTCAAATACACACACACGCACACACACGCGCGCGCACACACACACACACACACACACACATACACACACACACACACACACACACACACACACACTACTACTACTACTACTACTATAGCATGACTGCCCATTGGGCAATGTCACCCCCGGAGGGGGCCAGAGTTTGGAGTGCACCGTCATTGGCAGGACTTCTGGTGCCTCGTCAAATCTTGCTGTCGTCGGAAACGTTTCGGGCAATGCATGCAGATCAGCGGCAGTGATTCCCTATCGGCTGCAGCAAGACGTTTTCCACGGTTGCAGTTATGGCGGTTAAAACCAGCCCGGGACTTGAAGCAGCGATTGCAGCGTTGACAATGCTGGAAGCAGCAACTAGCGAGAGACGCCGTCAATGCCGTATCTGCATGTTCAGGGAGTGCAGGCTGGCAGCGATGAACTGCCACACACACACACACACACACACACACACACACACACACACACACACACACACACACACACACACACACACACACACACACACACACACACACACACACACACACACACACACACACACACACCTTTGACCTTTGACCTTTGACGCCCCATCTCCAGTGGAGATGATAGGCTACTGAGTTGGGCAGTACCTGATGTGACGCTTCAAATCGCCACTTCTCCTAAACGCTCTGCCGCATGCGCAATGAAAGTCCTTCGGTGCCGGGGGAGGAAGACGATGTTGATGAACCCGCCTGCGCCATTCCGGGCGATCTTGTGCGAGCCGATACCACTCGGACTCCGGAATATCCAGCGAGCGCAGATCACCGACAATCGTGTCTCGCCAACGCTTCTTTGGCCCATGCCGTGGTCTGGTTGCTTCGAGCTCACCAAACAACACTTGTTGAGGAATCCGGGCCGCGTCCATACGGGCAACATGACCCAGCCAACGCAGACGGTACTCACGCAGGAGAGCGCCAATGTCCTCAGGAAGACGCGCTCTCTGGGCTAGATCAGCAGTATTAAGATGACGGGAGTGCTGATCGCTCCTTGAGACTCCCAAGATGGAACGGACACATGAGCGATGAAACAGATTCAGGCGATTCATCTGCCGGGCCTTCATGGGCCAAGTCTCTGCTCCATAGAAGAGGGTAGGGAGGACAATGGCCTTGTAGACAAGACGCTTAGACTTAATGGATAGGCCGCTACACCCGAAGATTGGCTTTTGGAGAGCGCCAAAAGCACGAGAGGCCTTGGCAAGACGGGAGGTGAGCTCCTTGTCCAGAGCACCGTCTGCACTCAGGACACTGCCAAGATAGGTAAAGCTGTCCACAACCTCCACGCTTCCTCCATCCTGAAGATCAATGGAAGGTGGCGGGTGAGAGCAGTTCACCGCCATGGCCTTGGTCTTCTGGACGCTCACAGTTAGACCCCCACCCGAAGCACAGGACACAAACTCGTTTGTCATCGTCTCCAGGTGGCTCAAAGAGGTGGTGTAGAGAGCCGCATCATCAGCAAACTGGGACTCTGTGACGTCAGTGGAGGCCAGTCGAGACTTGGCGGTCCGATCCCCAACAAGCTTCCTGCCGACACGGTAGCGGACCCGTACACCCGGAACAGAAGACTGCACACACACACACACACACACACACACACACACACACACACACACACACACACACACACACACACACACACACACACACACACACACACACACACACACACACACACACACATACACACACACACACACACACACACACACACACACCAAGTCATGATAATAATTATTTTTATCATTTTCACGAGCACAACCAGGGGCGTTGGACACGGTACGGTCACTACGGTATTGACCGTACCACTTCTTGCCCCCGTTACACCGTAAATCAATAAAACACATGATCTGGGATTTAAATTTCCAAAAATTTCGGCTCAGTCCCCACTCCCCCACGAGTAAATTGTACTTCAGATGGCTGACCGTGCCACACTAAAATTCCTTCTGACGCCCCTGAGTCAAGAAATTGCAGACTGCATTGCTTACTTTCTGGCAATTCACCAAAGTTGAACTTTAATTCCATATTGGGCACTAAAGCAGAGCCCCTCTGGGCCAGTTCAATCCCACCAACTTTCAAAAAGGAAAGAAAAGGTTATTTCGTTCACCTCCCTTCGAGCTGTTGTATGTAGACTAATGGCCTGTGGGAGATGATGGAGTAAAGAAAGAGCAGATATTAGAGTTAAGCTACACTTTATTATAACTTAGGGACCATCCATAAAATTTAATATCGATACTTATTATAGAAACGAAAACTAGTCATTTCTCTTCAACCGCCCTCCCTCAGAAACGAACACTTACAAACGGTACATGGTACAGGTCCTCCCTCATTATAACGAGTCCGGTTACTACATAAACCCCGTTAGTAAATAGAAATCTGAAATCCCCTGGCGAAACGTGGTCTATATAACTGTTTACAGGTCCGGTTACAAC